CTACTGAAGACTCTATCAACTTCAATCTTTGGAAGCAGAAAACAATTATATCTCCATTAAAATTAATTAATTATACATCCAAATGTGTTTAAGAAATCTGATTAATTGTTATCGAAAGTGTTGCAACATAATGAAATTACATTTCAAAGAAGTTGATTTTTTTCCGTACGTAGTACGGGGTTAGAATTCTAGTGTTACAATAAATCTAAACGGCTAAACCTATTAACACGTCATTAAATTCCATTGACGGTTACAATTTGATGATAGGTTTGGTTTCGTTACCCTCAAAGTCCATTAGTGTGGAGATATCCCAAACTTGGCAATCGCAGTAATTAGGGTTTTACTATTTTTGCAGTCATGAATCCAGGTAATCGTCTATGTTATCGATACTTTTGTAATTAGTGTTTTACGAGTTTTGACTGATTACGATATGTCTGTAATGGAGGTTGATGTAGTATTTCTCGCTTCGTGCCTTTATGATCAGTTTATTAACCATGTTCCTCTTCTAGATATGTGGTGATTTGGGAAAAGACATATCAATTTTGATGTAAAAACCTTTCGTTTTGTAAATTGTAGTGGATCTTCAAACCCTAAGCTTGGACATGAAGATTAGTAGGGTATTTTGTGATTTTTATGCTTTTCCGTTTTGTCTGGTCATTAAGCACTTGATTTTGCATCAGTTCCGGGAGATTTGTCTCTAGTTAGATTCCACTTTTGGTTAAGTATTGTCTTGATTTTGGAAACCCCATGTTTTGAATGGTCCATTGAATTATATCTTTTGCTATCTTATCTCCAAACCCTAATTGTAAGGTGACAAAGGCATCTTTTATAGGGGTTTTCAATTTTGTCAGAATGTTTTAAGCCATTATTATATGTTTCTCTCTTATCCTATGTATTCCAAATTTGATATTGTGTGTGACACAATCTTACTTCTTATTTTCAGTGTTGGGATCTACATCTTGTTTCTCCAATGTCGAGTCGATCCCGATGCTAAATGGTTCAAACTTTTCGGAATGGAAAGAACATTTGTTACTTGTGCTTGCCCTCATGGATCTTGATATTTCCCTCAGGGAAGAGCGTCCGAAGCACATTGACATTGTCAAAACCGAGCGTTGGGACCGATCCAACCGCATGAGTATGATGATAATGAAAACCCGAATCCCACCAAAATTCAGAGGCATTGTCCCCAAGGATGTTACAACCGCCAAAGAAGTTTTGGCTGCAGTTGAGAAATGCTATGCGAAAAAGGACGGGGCAGAGGTCAGAACGGTGCTAGCCGAGTTTCGGTCAACGAAAAAAACGAATGAGAGTGTTAGAGAGTATATTATGATGAAGATGAGCGTTGCAGCTAAGTTGAAGAAACTCGGGATGCATATTCCTGATAATGTCGTGGCAGCTTTTATACTCGATAGTCTACCCTCGGACTATGAAATTCTTAGGAGTACTTATAACCGTCTCCAACTGGAATGGTCGACTCATGATCTCATCTCTCACTGTGTGCAAGAAGAGGAGAGGTTGACAAGTGAAAAGAAAGAACATGATCTTGTTACAGGTAAAGTCATATGTGATAAGAAAAGAAAGCACTATGACCAATGTTTATGATTGATTCAGGAAACTAGAAGTAACAAAACGTTCTGGAGTTTTCATTGTTATATTGTGTTTCAAACATTTTTTAGAGTAACAACTTTTTGCTTTGAGCATATCATAATATTTCTGTGTTTCTTTACATCTTTTATCATATTAAATCTGAAAGAAACATATGGAAAGAAATTCATCGATCGATCATTGGATTAAACCTTGTTTTCGCCTGTTCTTGTTCTGTTTCCCCTGTTTTTGCTCTGTTCTCCTATTCTTGTAAACTTATTCAGTTAAATAACACTGAAGTTACAAAAAGACTTTATGATATATACAACACCATGAGCCGCAAAGTCTGAAGAAACATTTAAAACCCAAAATTTTACAATTCAGGTGATTCATGGATAGATTCAAGCCTTGGGATCCACTTACTGTCGTCAAAACAACTGAGAGAGGTTCTCTGATTCACAAAAACAAGCTGCTCCAATGAAACTTGCTTCGCCAACAAGCGCTCCAGCTGTTTCCTAGTTATCACCACTTTGATTCTCCTTCTTCCTTCGATAGCCGAATCGTCTTGGGGACATAGAGATCCGTTCTTGATCTCTGTGTTAGAATCTTGAATCTTGTTACTATCAATATGTTTTACGCACAAACATACACCGAGGTTGGAGAGAGTCACCAAGATTTGCTTCAAGCTTAGTCTCTTCTTCATTACTATGTTCGTAATTGTAAGCTGTGAGATTCATTCACCTTCTTATAATGTGTTTATATATAGACAAACACAAAGAGGCTGCTTTTGAAATATTTTTAAAGGCTTTCAATTATTAAAATCATGGGTTGTGTTTAATTTGGAGTGGATAGTAAAAAAGTAGGTGGGAATGTAACAGATTCGGATCAATGGGTATCTTAATGAACAAAAGAAAATTAGAGATGAAGTCTTGAAGATGCTAACACGTGTGTACAATAGGTCGGTTCTTGTACATAAAACATTAATTTTGGACCGACTTTTTGATCCAAACCCTATGGCTTGTCTAATACTTCGTGGTATATCATGATGAAACCTACTTAGTGTATTAATGGTGATCACTAAGACTATTTGCGATTGGAAGTCAATCCAAAAAACAAACAGAATTGCGATTGACCTAATTTTTGTTGTTTGTTGTTACCCTTTAGAGGTTGACCAAGTCTATCAGTTCCATAACTAATAAAACAAAAAACATTACTAGAACCTTTTTATCTATTTAAATGTTAGTTAAACGGTTGAACGAAAATTCTTGTATTTTATTATAATTTACGCCGCATTATGAAATTTTTTTTTTTAATAATTTTTTTAAATTTTATTATCTAAACGGTGCTGGCTTAACTGATTTAAAGAAGAAATTTCTAGAAATTATCCAATTTAATTTTTCTTTTGAATGTATCTTATGCAAAATCCTATAAGAATTTGAATAAAATAAACAATGTTTTTCTCCATTTTTATCAAAAGAAAAATATTTTCTCCAAATCCTAGTTCACGAAGGATTCTCGTGTATTTCTTCTTATATATAGAGAGACAATTGTAAAAAAATCATTGCATACCTTTAACTTATTCTACTCATGTCCAAGCAAATTCTAATTTCTTTTGCCTTGTTCCAACCAAACGATAGAGAAACAAAATTTTTTGTGGCAGGTTTGCTTTGGATTACCAGAACCGAAAGTCTCATAAGTTACTTCGAACGGTTTGGAGTAATTGTCAAAGCTAATGTAGTTTGTGATGGAGCAACACAACGATAAAAGAGGTTTGGTTTTGTAAGTATCTAAACAAATATTTAACATGTAGAGTAATCATAGATATAGATTTTGTGTGTTTTTAATCATGGTTTTGAGTCAATATTATTAGGTCACATTTAGAGAAGTTGAATCTGCAACAAGAGCATGCGAGAATCCAAATCATGTCACAGATGGACGAACGGTCAATTGCAAAATTGCTTATCTTGGTGCTAGGATTCACAATAATCAACCAAACCAATACGATTTTTAATCTCAATTCTCTTTTTGGTTTCTCTTCAATTCAACTTTTTTTTTTGTTTTTGCAGTGATAATTATTCATTATAATCTTTGTTCTTGTAAATTCAGGTGAACCGCTAGGTACATATGTATATTGGTATTTTATCTTTCTTTTCATCTATCAATCATTTTTTGTACAAATAAAACCTTTTTTTTGCAATTGTATGATACTAACAAGGAACTAATAAAATTTATTTATTTTCTTCAAATTCAGGAACCCGTTTTATCAGCAGTATTACCCATGTTTTTTTTTTTTTGATAAACCCTATCGGCTATCCGGTCGGCCCCGGTAGGAACGCACCGTGGTGCTACATAGTGGACTGGTCCACCGTGTTAACGGTTAGGCCCTTACGGGCTACCACTCTGCCTATCCCGAGTTTGGAATACCTTCCGACTAAGTGCCAGGGGGTAGTCAGGCCGCCTGCATTTCTGGCTACCAGGTAAACCAATTGGGCCAAAGCCCAACTGACAGACTTCCCAAACAAATGTGTTTTTGTTTCCAGGGAGAATCGAACTTAGGTTTGGGAGTTTCACCCTTTTCCAAAGCTTCCTCTGCCACTAGACCACAGATGCTTGGGCAGTATTACCCATGTTACCCTGTCTATTCTCATAGTCAACTAGGTTTAGTTTGTCTGACTTTGATATTGTTGACTTTTATATCATTGCTTATGCTGAAACAGAGTACCCAACTATGCTCTACTTTTAATAGATTCTATCTCATTCGAAAAAATAATAAACTGTTTATTGGTTACTATTATAAGGTTGCCGGAAAAAAAAAAAAGAATAACTAATGTTCTTTCAACTGCAATATTCTTTACTCGAGTCTTGATGAATCCATAAACCTTCTTCTCTGCTTCCTCGTATTTGTTGAAAAACATAGAAATTAGGAAAAAAAAGGCTTTACTTCATTCTTCCCAAAAGTAGAGTGAAGATACCAAAAAAAAAAGCTAAATGGATTTCAAGAAACACACAAAATATGGACCCAACAGACTCAAATCTTTATGTGTAGAGCTCTAAAAAGGTACAACCACCATGAATTATTTAAGAAAAGTGGAAAGTAATCAGGTGAAACATTGGTCCTGCCTATTTTCCTCTTCTTCGCCTTTTTATTGGTAAATGCCAATTCAATTATCCTCTGCTTTTAACGATGGTTATGCTCTGGTTTTGGTATTTTACATTCAAATAATTCTATACAAACAGTTCAATGTAACTTTACAAGAAGTACTAAATACCAGCACACAAACATCGACAAAGAGAACGATTGCACATAAGTGAAAGAAACTATAGTGTATATGTGGTTGATGATTCTATATAATCTCATATAGTTGTAGAGCAACGAGTCCCTTGTATTGAAGCTAATGGAGGAGTGGTCATGTTCTGTCCAAAAGCCACAAGTGCAAGACAATTCACATTAAACCGGTATGCGCCGGAGACCCATGTCCCGATCTTCCACCTTAGCTTCCCATCCATTTTCAAACCGATGATTATTTTACCAGTTGACCGATCACGACTGATTTGATAACCAAAGGACTGAGCAACGGGTAGCTCAGTCCCTTGAAGAAACGCTGTCAAGAGATTGATTTCTTCATGGGATTGATAAAAAGGCGGTAGAGAAGCCTCGGATGTGATTTGTTGTCCCCTATACGCTGCGTATACGAGTAGCTTGTCGTAGTAGATACCAACTTTTTTGTTAGGGTTTTTGGAGAAGAGAGTGAGTTGGATTGAAGAGTTGAGGAGATGAGTGGAGGAGGAGGTGAGGTTGAGGCTGTATATATCGGCTTCAGTGAGGGAGAACTCGGGTTTCTCGGGGTGGAGGATGAGCCAAACGAGGAAGATGACGAGGAGAAGGCCGGTGAAGAAAGTTGAGAATGTGAAAAAGAGTTTTTTGTGGCGATTGTTGATGTTAATCCCTCCTTTCTTGGCACAATGTTTTGGAGAGGTTATGGAGATTTGAGACATTTGGAGAGATGATGATGATGATGATGGAGAAGACCAAGAAGAGGGACAGAGAAGAAGGAGAGAAGATGAATGGGTTAATAAAGAGTGGAAGAAGAAAGCTATAAGCACTTAAGCGGCAATTATCTTTGTGTCTTTAGTAATACTTTTTTGACTTAGTTGTTGCTTGGTGAAGGTGTGAAAATATTGACCGTTGGATCAACTGATAAATGGACTTCTGTTTTCTTGCTGTCGTTTTTTTTCTTTATCTATATGTTTGCGTGAACGTTTTAGTTACTTTTATTATTATACATGCTTGATTAGTTAAAGGAAAACATCAAATAATCAATAAAGTTAACACATCGTGAGACTTTGAGATGTCTAGAAAAGCTTCTTTTTCTTCTTGCACACTTTGCGTTTCTTTAATTTCAAATGATTAGTGTTTTTGTGAGATCTTGCATGGTAAGTTTTGTGAAATCATGCAAAGTTAAAAGACAACATTTTATGAGAAGAAACCGATATAGATCCATAAAAGACCTAAGATGTGTAGAATAAAACTGAGTTATGCTAATTAGTCCATTATATAGTATCGATCATTTTGTTAGTTTTTTTTTTTTTTTGTTGCGAATAATCATTTTGTTAGTTAAATCACACGAAAAATTAACACTTAGATGATTAGACCCGAGTAAAAATGATACAAAAGAAAATAGTTGAACAAAATATATATATATTGGCAGAGCAGCTATGTGTGTCTACAGTCTACATATGATGTTTCAAATGTGTCTACATATGTGTTTCAAATAGCCAGCATTTTTTTCATCTGATGTCCATTGTCTTTTATTTAGATTCATCATCTATTATATTTAATAGATAAGAAAATTGGTCTTACTATAATAATTAATAAATGGTTTTAGCTCAACCGGTAAAAACACTTTTAATTTCTTTTTTAGTTTCGAGCTTTCCACCGTAATATTATAAGCAATAAAAGATTACTATAATTAGAACTTTTATATAAAATATTCTTATTCATATGAATATACACAAGAAAGAGCACGAGTCTTAGGGTCCGAAGATCCTTTTGTCGGAACCTATACCGTTTATACGGTCGCTTGCTCAGTTTGTAGTATTTACATAGGACAAGCCACGTATTATTATTTTCGAAATATAAAACTATATACTATAAAATTAAGACAAGAATCAACGCCTCCAAATTGCTTTTAAAAGTTTCATCCTATGAAAAGCTTAGATTTTTTTCCTTCCAAAAAAACAACTTTTTCACATTATTTAATCTAATTGGATAATACCTATTACCTATTTTATCATATTGATCAATTAGAACATCTCAACATCATATAGAAAAATGTATAAAATAGAGTCTTTTTTGGTAAATTTGTTTACTTTTCCTAGATTAATATAAATACAAAATATGTGGTTTTATGAATTCGATTATATTAGTGGATTTCACAAGAATCGATCCTACCGTATCATTTAAACTTAGCAAACTGTGATGTGTAAATCGTAATAAAAGAATACAATCGGATAATCAGACTAAAATTTTCTGAAATGTGTTAATGTCATGGAAGACATGAGGAATCAATAATTAGCTTTTTCATAAGGAGAAAATATTAAAAAATAGAGAGGAAAAAACCGTGGAAGCATCTCAATCATTTCATGGGGGGGGGCTTTTTGTGTCTTTATGTAGCCGTTCCTTTTACGCTAAGGAAAGATAGAGCAACTCGTGTATGCATCCAAATTTCTTTAGATTTATTTCACAATAACATTTATATTATGAAAAAGATTACTACTCTCTAGCGCTCAGATCTTTATTCATAATAAGTTGGAAAACTAAGTAGAAAAGATGATTCGTATATTCAAAAAGTAATGGATTTTGGAGTACTATCCATACTCTATTTTAGAGTTCTCCCTTGTACAATAGCCCTAGAAGTTTTATATATTCAAAAACAGCGTTATATGAATAGAAAATTCATAGTAAACTTAAACCTCTTCGACTATATGTATCGTCAATTCCCAACGCATATTATTGTGTGATAAAAAGGGACCTCTTGCTCTCTGAAATTGGAAAAAAGGAGTAATGATAACAATGCAAATGTATGGTTTTTTAATATTAATTTTTATTATATATATGAAGACTTATTTACTTTGTTATATAATATGCTTTATGGCTCATGAATAAACTACCCCATGGACTTTGGTAGTGTGCGATTTATAATCTTCTTCACTTCTTTTGAAATACTTTCTGAAAAATTGTTCATCATCATATATAATGTTCTTGCTTTGAACCTAGCTTTTTTGTGTATTACGGTTTAATTATTCAAACAATGAAGTGGGAAAAAGAGACTTTGCTTTTCGTTTCGTTGCGTCTTTAAAAGTCACTTTTTGTTGATTTTTTCTCACATAGATTCAAAAGTTTTGTGTTTTACGAAAAGTGAGTTATAACCAGAAGGTCCAGAACCTAAATATATGAGACTAATGTTGTTGGCTCTTTGGTTGATTTGGAGACTTTAAGGTGGTGTTATTCAATAATGGATTTTAATAGAATTGAAATCCAATACTAATTCAGTGTTATTCAACTAATGATTCTAAATCTAAATTTAGAATTTGGTGTTATTGGATCTTATACTTCATTAGATTTTAAAAGTTTGGTGTTATTCAACTAAGATTTAAAATACTTCATTAAAATCCAGTGTTATTAAAAACTAAAAGACTTGTAAAATCTTTGTATATTAAATCATTTCAAATGTAAATTATGAGAATCAGAATCCAAGATATACTACAGAGATTTTGAAATCCACACAAACAGATTCTTAAAAATAATATCAGAAAGCAAATCTAAACCATAAAGAATTGACTTTAATTCTATGCTTGAATAACACCCCTAAGTCTTGCAACCTAAACATGCCCGGTTTAAACTTTTGAACATGTAAATAATTTTTTTTTTTTTTTTTTGATGACTAAGGGCATCATCAATGGGGGATCATGTGAGGGTGTTCTTAGAGAAAATATAATGTTAAAATAATGTAAGATCATGTGTTTAGATCTTTTGTTTAGAAGTTGATTAGTGAGAGAACATGTGTAAGATCTTAAGATTTAATAATATAATAATAATCTACAAATTTTAAAACATATTACAATTATTAAAACATTAAAAATAACATATTAATTGCAAACTTTAAAAACTGAAAATAAAAGTGAAAATACAAAACTAAATATTTATGAATAAAACATTAAAAATATAAATAACAATAAACAAACAAACATATAAAAGCACAAAAACATTTTATCTAATTAATACATAGTTTATTATCCAAATTTATTCCAAATATGTTGAATCAAATCCTCTTTTAATTGGTGATGTGCTTGTCTATCACGAATTCTTGTATGCCCATCACCTAAACCTTCAAGATTTGTAGCCATATTTACTGAAAACGTAAGATCCCGAGGTATTTCGGTTTCATCGTCTTGTCGGAATTCATTTTCGTCATAGAGAGTGTATGAATCTCGCTCATCTTCGACAATCATATTATGGAGTATGAGACAAACTCTCATAATATATGCTATTTTACCTTTCGACCATAAAAGAGATGGATTTTTAATCATGGCGAATCTAGATTGCAGGACTCAAAATGCACGCTCAACATCTTTTCGTGCACCTTCTTGACGTTCAGCAAACAAACTATGTTCCGGGTGTTGTAGTTTTGGGATGGATTTAACAAATGTCCCCCATTCGGGGTAAATGTCATCCGTCAGATAGTAAGCCAAATTATACTCCCTTCCGTTGACATAGTACGTCACTTCGGGAGCTCGACCGTAAATAATATCATTAAAAACTGGAGATTGATCAAGAACATTTAAATCGTTACTAGTACATGGCGCTCCAAAAAATGCGTGTCATATCCAGAGATCTTGTGAAGCTACTGCCTCCAAAACAATTGTTGGTTTACTGGTGCCTCGTGAATACATTCCTTTCCAAGCAGTTGGGCAATTCTTCTACTTCCAATGCATACAGTCGATGCTGCCAACCATCCCAGGAAAACCCCGCTTTTCTCCATAAAAGAGTAGCCTTCGGAGATCCTCTAGTGTGGGTCGCCGTAGGTATTCAGTGCCAAACAAGTCCACTATTCCGACGACGAAATGTTCCAAACATTCACGAGCAGTCGATTCACCAATACGTAAATATTCGTCAACCGAGTCCGACCCAGTCCCATATGCTAATAGCCGAATTGTTGCAGTACATTGTTGTAGCGGTGATACACCATTTCGGAACCTTGCATCCTTTTTTGGTTGAAAATATGGAAGCTTTTCACTAAGACGATTCACAATACGCAAGAACAATGACTTGTTCATTCAAAACCGTCTGCGAAATTGCCTATCCAAAAAAGTCGGATTATCACTAAAATAATCGTTCCACAAACGTTCATGCCCTTCTTCCTGTTTTCTATCGATATATGTACGTTTCTTCCTCTCAGCCGGAATTTCCTCTTCCGCCGGAATTTCCTCTTCAGCAGCTTGAAATTTATTATGAAATTGAGCTTGAAAAAATTGGTTAAAACTATCATTATTCGGATCATAATGGTAGTGAAAATTATTGGAAGAAGAAGCCATAAAAACTTGGGAGAGATTAAACTTGGAATTTGTAGATAGAAAGAGAAGAGAATTGTATGTTCGTTGGGAGAGAAGGAAATGTTTTCTTGATTTGTTTTATGAAAGAAGTGTATGTTTGATGAAATACAATCTTCTGCTCGTTTTAAATATTTATAGAGAGTTGCAAATTTGTGTGGGAAAAGGCATTTGATACATCCATAACGTCAAGTTGATACATCAAGACAAACACATGTGAACTTTGGTCTTTCATACAAACAAAAGCATGTGACTCTTGTCAAATTTTGTTTTCCAAAACATACAAAACAAATGCACATGAGTCTGGCTTTAAAACTGTGCCTACAATCATACATTATATGCTGAACTTGCCGACTACTCTAATTTACTTAATAAACATGATGAGTGCCACTACCAAAACACTCATACTGAAGCAAACAGCAACTACCAATTCAGGGGCCAAGTTGAACAATGGTTTCTTCTCACCTAACTCAGTAACAAGCCTCTCCAGTTTCACCAACCTCTGATCTTAATGGTTTTGGTCATCCTTGAACTTCATCAGTTCTGTCTCATAATCAGGTTTTGTTGGTTCAGCATCACAGCTCCACAGACTCCTCTTCACAGTCTGAGGTTGCAGATGATAGTAACTGCTATCTTCCTCCTCTTCAGAACTGTAGTCTAATGGGCTGTTTATCCCATAGTCATAGATATCATCAAGTCCCATGTCTTATTCAACCTGAAACCAAAAAAACAGAAAGCAATCAGAATGAAGAATGCAATCAGATAATCAGCTTGCCAAAGCTCATTAAACATGAGATATATAAGAATGCAATCAGAATACAAAACCAAAGCAATCAGGATTTAGGAAACAAACATAGCCGATTCATTAAAAACATAAGAGAACAAGTTGAACAATGTTACATATCTGATTCATAAACACATTAAAAACAAAAGACAAACATAGTTAAAACAAACATAAGACCAACAGACTTATCATCTAGTGTTTATTCTAAGTTAAAAAAAGTTCAGCAACTAGCTTCTTCTTTACAACTTTGTCTTCTTCATCCAGATTTTCTTTCTTGGCAATTAGACTGTCAAGAATGGACAGCTTTTGGAGTTCTTTCATTCCCTCCAAATCCTTCTGTTTTAGCTCAAACATTTTACTAAACTCAGCAGATGGTGAAGCAGATGCAGCAGATGGTGAAGCAGATGCTGAGGCCTTCTCTTTACCATTGGTCTTCCTTAATTTTTTCATTGCCTTTATGCCATGAGGCCTACTCTCGTGCTCACCTACTACAGAGCCTGAAGATGGTGCAGCATCATTGGCTTTGCGTTTGTTAGAACTGGTTTACTTATTAGGAGTGGGGTTCATAGCCTCCAGGTTTAGCCATTTTTGTTCATAGCGAAGAACATTCCAAGCATACTCCAAAGCAAACTTCTTCTTGTAAATATTAGTGTAAATTTGGTGAGCATTCTGCAGAATATCCTCTTCATTCATGCCACTAGCTTTCTCATCATATGCCTCTGCATAAGTTCCACAGAACCTGCTCACTGCTCTACTGATTTTTTGCCATCTTTGTCTACAAAGATCATGGTGTCTTGGCTCAGCACCACCAAGTACATGAGTACTTGATGCGTAATAATCTCCTATCTGCTTCCAAAAGGACCCTCCCTTTTGATCATTCCCAACTATTGGATCTTTAGAGGTGTTTAACCAGCCGCTTATTAAGATTAAGTCATCTTGTGTGGACCATATCCTTCTCTCCCTACGTTGTTCTGCTGTCTCTTCTGGTTGACTAGGAGGTTGACTCGGCTGTGAACTAGTTTGTGAACTAAAAGGAGGGATTTGGGAGGAACCAATGTTTGCATTGCGATCAAAGCCATCATATGGGAAGTTAATAAGGCTGAAGTAGGATTGAGACTACTCGACCTGATTTATCTTTTGCTGCGAATCAGGTAGCTCAACACATGCAAGCTCCCACTGTTTATCATTGGAGTTTGGTGGAGAGAATTTTGAGATATATCAAAGGAAGTCCCGGCAAAGGCATATAGATGGGAAGAAACTCTAGCACAGAGATTGTTGGATATTGCGATGCAGATTACAATGGGGATCGCAACACAAGACAATCAACAACTGGTTTTTGTACATTCATTGGTGGGAATCTTGTGACTTGGAAGTCGAAGAAGCAGAAAGTGGTCTCTTGTTCGAGTGCTGAAGCAGAGTATAGAGCTATGAAGAAACTCACAAACGAGTTAACATGGCTAAAGGCTTTGTTAAAGGACTTTGGGATCGAGCAGAAGACTCCAATCACTTTTCATAGTGACAATCAAGCGGCCATCCACATTGCTACCAATCCCGTGTTCCACGAGAGGACCAAGCACATAGAGACGGATTGCCACAAGACAAGAGAGAAGATAGAAGATGGTACGATTCTCCCTTGTTACACTATGAGTTCGGACCAATTGGCCGATATCTTTACCAAGGCAGCAAGTAACCAAGTTTGCCAATTTATTCATGGTAAACTTGGTCTTGTAGACCTGACACATCCTTGAAAAATATTCTCCAACTTGTAGGGATAATACTCTTTTTCCCTAAGCTTGGTTTTGTCCCACGTGGTTTTCCAAGCTTAAGTTTTTAATGAGGTTATTCATACAAGTGCCAAGTTTATACACAATTGGGCATTGTGGTATAAACTTGAGGGGGAGTGTTAATCAAGAAGACATTTAACACTAACTAAGTCATAGTTAAGGGTTAAATGTAGGTTACTTGGGTTACTCGGGTTACAGGTTACTTGGGTTACTCGGGTTACAGGTTACTTGGGTTACTCGGGTTACAAGTCTGAATGAGGGTGCTATTGGTCTTTGTGCACAACCCATAAACCCTAGAGAGTGTGTTCTCATATAAAAGCACTTGTGTGCCTCCACTTTGTAATACAACGTTTATCTTTTAATAACAACACTTTTCCTCTCTACTCTTAGTCATGTTTCTCTCTATTCTTCCCACTTGATTCTTAAATTATTTACACAAGACAATCACAAATTGCAAGACATAAACCAATCAAACATCTGAGACCAATCCAAACCTTTAATTGACAGATTAGATGAAACCCTATAACATTTATACTAAACCCAAACCTAATTCACAGATTTCAAGACCCAAAATCGATGAAACATAACTGAGAGAGGACACGAGGGGACTACCTTGTCTATTTCGCTGGAGATGAGATTTGGGAGACAGAGGAGACGAGGATACAAAGGCGTACGGAAAGGAATTCGACTTCGACTTCAAATCGCCGGACCTATGAATCGACAAAGAAGACATTTTTAACGGATGAAATTCACAAAACTATGTACAGATCGATTTCTACATGGAAGAGATCTCGATTTTGGTGTTTTAATGGCCGGAAAACACACCTTAATCGGAGAAGATGATGAGCTATCGCCGCTTTGGAGAGGAAGAAGGAAACCTAGTGCGATTTCGATTTTTGGAGAAATGAAAATGTTTTCTCCTTTGCAAAAAAGCGGATCCAATCACGGGCTGACACGTAGACCAGGAACAAGGCTTAAAACAGATCTCGGGCGAGATCACTTCCCTCTGATCCAAGCCCACTATTCATTTTTTCTCAATTTTTATATACCTAAGCACATGGCCCATGATCTGCCAATGCAGATGGCCTAAGAGGTTCTGAGCCCGTAGGCCCATACATCCCCCCAGGGCGAGGCCCAAACCATGTAATATAACTCCCCTTTGGAGAGCAGACCCCTCCCAACGTGAATCGATCCCGTGACCTCCAAGGTCTCTACATTATTGGTAACCAAGGGGCTTAACCACTAGGACAACTCATCGTTGGTTTGATTGGTTAAGGTTGTAGTCTTGTAGATAACCGGTTTTTTAGTGTTGTAGAATTAGGTTGTGGTTTAAGATTTTGGTTATAGGTTTTTGAAAATTACAGATATGATATGCAAATATATTAGTTTTTTTATATATTGTAAATAATATTAGTTCTGCCTCGTAAATTAATTTTTATGGTGTCAGTTTTCGAAACTTCTAAAATAAATAAAGTAATATATTAAATATATTATATGTTATTTCTTTGTGTGCGCTCTATAAAAAATTTTGGATTTGTCTTTTTGGCGGGCCAACCGAATGGGGCAGCATGATGTGAACGAGATTTGTTGTGGAGCTAAATGAACTTTTATGCAACTTGGAATCTCCATAATATCGCTCTTGGAAAAAGATATAACTATAGAAAAGTTATAAGATAATCAATACAAAGTACTCATGCAAGACAGTAGTCATAAACATATAACACAGTCAATAATTAGCGTGAAAATAAGAGAAATTAAAAGTTCGAGGTTGAAAAAAGGAACCTGTCAGACCGCCGTGCGACCACCCCGGTCGGGTAGAACCGAGCCGAGTAACGATCCTCTACAGCACCGGATGCGTCCTAAGACGATCGTAGCCGTCAATCACGCTCTAGTCGCACAGTCATAGTTCATCAACCAGGGTAAAGGGTCTGTCTCTTGAGAAATCAAGGAAACAGATGTACGAGCCTATAGAACAGATCCTGTTCAAGTAAGGTCGTGACAAGTGATGCTTTTTCAATGTTATATATACAGCAACATTGTTTTTCAGAATAGCGATGTGGGACAAAATTAAAGATCACATTAGAAAAGTATGCATGGGTAAGTGATATATGGACGAAGGTCCACTTAGTTATATATATAAAGCCCATCCCAAACTTTGCGTTCAAAATTGGTCTTGTTTTGCTAACTATAGCAATTGAGTGTGATAAACTCGTTCTCAATCTTGTTTCTGAGTATATAATACAATGTGCGGGTGCGGGTGCGGGTGCGGGTGCGGGTGCGGGTGCGGGTGCGGGTGCGGGTGAGGGTAACAAAGCTATCTTCACAACCTTATACGCACAACCCGAAGATGTGAAAACATAAGATGTTAGAACAAGCAAAGCAGTCATTCATGTCCCAATCATTGTTTTATTTTTATGATCCGAAACTTTTTTTTTTTTTTGCTAAATTGTAAATATTTCATAAAAATGAAAAACAGTTTAGGTTACAAATATGAATTTGAAACCTATACATATGATGAAACCGAAACTTTTCTTCCTTTCTTGAACTACCAATGATGAAACCTAGACCAACTAAAGATTCGACGTCTCTCAGTGACTACATGGCCAGTCGTTGTAACATCTTTTCTTCTATTGGAGGCTCACAGATATTAATCCTCAATACATAATCTATATAACCTTAAATGCCTAACTAAAGGTTGCGTTACTGTGGTAATGGAAACTGAAAATTTGTTGTAACCGGAAACATTGGATAGACTTGTTGTTAGGCACTTTTTCTTGAGGGTGTGAAATGATGCCCACATGTGTCTCAATGTTCATAGCTCCACACTCAACTGAAGAATGCTCTAGCCTAGCTAGTAGCTTCTATGAAAGATATTCCCCAACCTGCATCATTGCTCCAAGCACAAAGATAGGTTTTAAAACCAAATATATTCAACCTCTTTAGTCTTTACCAATGTCTCGCATGCACTTCTACTCTTCATCCGATGTGGGATATATTCTTTGTCCAAAAAGAAACGTAATATGTTAACCTAACTTTTGTATTACTCCTTTCTAGTAACAAACACTGAGCTTTTATCTGACCATTACTAACCTTAGAGCAATATATTTCACATCATATTTTAAACTGAAGATTTGATGGAGGTTTATTAACAAATAAACCTTTCCAAAAATAGGCGTATGCCGTTTAAATGCAGAGAGAACACGGTATTCTTTAGTAAAAGGCGAAAGAATAGTTCGCTATGCCCTCACTGCACGGCTCCGTGAATCTAGAATTGATGCTCTCACTCTTTATATATACTATATTTTACTCTGTTCCTGAGTAACCTGACCGATGTGGGATATATACTAATATCAATTCAAAATATTAGAAATGCTGAAGAAAGTATGTTACAGATTATAGTCGTTGATTAAGCATGATTATTACAAAAATAAAATGTAAACAGTCAACGTAGATTGTTTTGCTTTTATTTTCTTTTGAATTTATTGTTTAAAACCTATACAACTTGAGTGAGTCAATTTGTAACAGTGTAACACTTCCATGTTTTTATTGTCAAAACGGATGACATAAGTGTAACTCTCGTAATGAATTTACCAAAGTCGTTTAACTTGAGCTACTCTATAAATTGTTTGTTACTTTTGTATACCAAAACCATCCCAATCAAGCAATTCACTCTAACTCTTCTATATCAAAAGGAAAACAAGGAAACAATATATACGTGCAATGGAAGGTAGGATCGAAACTCTTCTATCCACGATTCTAGTTGTGACGACTCTGTGTGCCACTACTCTATTGACACCAGGACTAGCTAGTTCTTCGATTGATCTCACAAAATGTTGGTCATCGCTCCTCAACATTCAAGGTTGTGAAGTCGAAATCTTTAAATCTATTTTAACTGGCAAGTTTGAAAACGTTGGACCAACATGCTGCAAGGCGTTTACGGAAGTGGATGCAAAGTGTTGGCCAAAAATGTTTCCGTTGAATCCATTGTTCCCTCCTCTTCTCAAGGATGGTTGCTCTCGCATCATCTCAGGTGCACCCGCACACACGACACCGCAATTCCCTTTCATCCCTGGTTCTCCGATCGACCTCACAAAATGTTTGTCATCACTTGTCAACGTTGAAGGTTGTGTAACTGAAATCCACAAAGCAGTTTTCACAGGAAAGTTTGATAATGTTGCACCAATGTGCTGCAAGGCGTTTTCAGCTGTGGATGCCAAATGTTGGCCACAAATGTTTCCGTTTAATCCATTCTTCCCTCCTCTTCTGAAGAATGAATGTTCTCGTATCAACGAAGCCACTCCTACACACAAGTGAAAGTAACTATAAAACCATCATTAAAAATGCTTTAAACTAGGCTTATTATAGCCTTATATTCAACAATTTCCTCTATTCCAATCAGTCATAGAAGATATTTCACGTGTAATGGTTTTTGCTTGTTCTAGTTTTTATCGTCTAAAGTAATAATTTAATTACAAGGTTCTGGTATAAGCTTTTACAACTTTCATCGTTTTAAGACCATGTATTCTTAAAAAGCTAATAGTTTCAGTAACTCAAATCAACACTGAAAGACCTATATAGAAAAGAATTTGATAAATGAATAAACTCTCTCCCTCTACAGTGAGAGCAAATTAAGAAGAAAAAAGGGGCCTGTCAGACCGCCGTGCGACCACCCCGGCAAGGTAGAACGGAGCCGAGTAACGATCCTCTACAGCACCGGATGCAACCGAAGAAGAACGTAGCCGTTAATCACGCTCTAATCGCACGGTCATGATTCATCAACCAGGGTTAAGGGCCTGTCTCTTGAGAAATCAAGGAAACAGAGGTTCGAGCCTATAGAACAGATCCTGTTCAAGTAAGGTCGTGACCATCATTGCTTCCCCAATGTTATATATACAAAGAGTTTTATTTTACATTGGCCGATGTGGGATACTTGTGCTATCTTTTAATGTGAATTCCATTGGAAAACTGGGCTATACGAGCTACGGCCCACTTGTTTTTGCTCCACAATTTTGCTTTAAACCGGACGGTCCATCTAGTCTAAACCGATCATGGGATCGTTTGGGTATCCTCTAACAGCTAATCTGACAATCTCTCTCTATAACGAATAAAAAATTCGTATAATTTATATGTTAACAATAATACACATGATTTCTAACTAAATATGTACTTTCGTCAATTACAATTCAAATAAATTATTTAATGCTTTTGTCATATGATTATTTAATGCTTTTGTCATATGATTATTTATATCTGTTGGATGGCCAAAAAGTCCCTTTTTTATAAGGAGTATATCATTTCAACAAAGCTTCCCAAACCACAGTTTAGAGATGTATAAAAGAATTCTAGAGTAACTTAACTTTAGTTAACTATTACCCATTAAACTCTATAAAATGTTGGGAAATATAGATTTAACAATTTTGAAAAAAAAAAATCTTTAACAAAGAAATTATCTTATATATTAAATTATTAGTCAATTTTTAAATTTATACAATTCATTAGTTTTCTTTAGTTTTTTCATGATGTCTATTTGATCGGAGTTATAGTCTTGTACTCTAATATATTAAAAGAAAATTTGGATATTTGTCTGGTTTAGTAGTAATTGCATAGACGACACACATAAATTTGGTTCTATGTGTAATTTGCAAATATTTATGTCATAAATATAGCGTTAGAATAATCATGCATGCTCTAAACATATAGGGATAATATTACTTACCTAGAAAATTAAAATAACTTGCAAGTAGCAAACACAACACAAAACGAGATGTTACGAAACTTGGCCAACTTGTTCCATATGACGTACGACGTTTTAAGGTTTTGAACAAGAAAACGTGTTTTCCACTTCAAAGACATGAAGAGACAAAGGTTGGTACCAGTTATGAAATATATTCAACAAACTTATTTTGGAATAATTACTTGGCCAAATTAGTTAGGCTTTTGCCTTTACATCTTTTGGCTTAACAAAAATAAGATCGAATTGAGAGTTTGAGACTAATCAGGTTTTACTTACAATATGGTAGTTTCATCAGGATCTTCAGCAATTAATAAACTGTTCGTATGACAAAAGAACATGAGAAACGGGAAGGGAATAAGACAATTTAGTCCAACCCGGTGACAGCTAGTTGGAGTAAAAGTAAAATTAAAACTCAAAAGTGGTGTTTATAATACTATCATTAAAAGCGACAAAAGTTTATCCCTTTCAGTGCGGCTCAGATGGGTGGGCGGGCGGTGCGACGGCCAGAGGTCCAATCCCGTAGTCCAATAATTAAGGGGCTCATTTTCTAAAATATTTTTTAAAAAATATTAAAAAATTAGATTATAACATAAAAATAAAATTTATAAAGGTCTATAAAATTTTTTATTTATTGTTTTTAGTATTAGTAATTAATATTTTTAACAAAAATAGCATAGAAAATTTTTTTACAGCAAAAAAACATTAAAAAAAAATTTCTAAGAGTCCAAAATTTTTTTTTGCTCTAGGGCCCATAAAAATGTTGAGCCGGCACTGATTCCTTTCGTATTTTTCTAACCAAATATCACAATCACATAAGTGTATATATTATGTATACATTTCATGGGTCTCAACTCTCAATGGATAGCGGAAAACATATATTATAGAAATCTTTCGTTATCGTACCTTTCAAAAAGTAGATATTATTCATTACTTTTTATAAAAACATAACTATCGAGAGTATGGACCTTTTATATGTATGTTCTTTACAAGTTGTTGGATCACACCTATCCACATAGGTCATTGTATTTTTAATATAAACATTAGGGTCATATGCCCTCAAATTCATTTAGCTTTTGCCCCATAAGGTATATATTTTGAGTTAAGAATCAAAAAAAATTTCCCTGATTCTCTATGAGCTATATGGGAAAACGGCCATTTTCAACCCCAACTATTTGGGGCGGGTTTTTCCAACCCAAACTAAGGCCTCCCGTCAATTTTTACCCAAACTCAAAACTAATTCAAATTCAAAACCAAAACTAATGAAATTTAGCCGATTTCAACACGACAGAAGACGGTGTTAGTTCGGGATTTAACGGCTGCTGAGTCAGCGATATCGTGGCATTGACGTGGCGGAAAAGCGGCCATTTTCAACCCCAACTATTTGGGGGTGGGTTTTTCCAACCCAAACTATTTGGGGCGGGAAAAAATAAAACGTCGTCGTTTTCACTGACGTGGCTTCTGGTCAATGAAAACGACGACGTTTTATTTTTTTTCCCTTTAAACAACGAAACGACGTCGTCTTAATTTTGGGGAAAAATTAAAATTAGGGTTCTTCATTTTCTCTCGAAACAGAAAAATGTTCGTCGATTTTATGAATTCACAAGCACTGTAAACGGAATCTGAAAGAAATGTAGCAATAGCAGGAAAAATCAAAATTTGTTCCTGAATAGTTTGGTCTAGCAATTGTGTTCTGTTGGTGTCGGATCCCGCACCAATAGGCCGGGATGAACCAAAGATTGCCACGTAATCAAGATAACGGCCCACGAAGGATAAAGCCCATTAGATTACGTGAGTCAGAGGAACAGTCGAAGTGGTTATCACCACAAGGAGAATCCGAAGTGACTGCACCTCGACATAAGTCCGGAGTCGAAGTCACAGTTAAAGATTTTGTCTTTCTTCCTGCAGTGGAATCATTGTACAGACATTCTATCTGGAAACTTGTCTGAAATCAATTGTGTTTATAGTCTCGTGACCTGAATCATCATCACTACAATTCACAAAAATTTCAATCCGCATAACAATTCATGAACTCTAAAGCTATGGTACCACACTGCCATTCATTGAAATTTCAACTCGACACAAATGGAGACAATACCATATTGTTTTAGAAATCATACAACCCCAAGATCCATCACATGGTAAGTAATACACAGTCGGACTATCGAATGATAGATCACCTTCGATATATAAATAGTTTTTCTCTCACGACCCAACTACGTACAAGATTACATGAATATAGCAGCGGCTTGGGTTTTGAATTTAAATTAGTTTTGAGTTTGGGTAGAAATTGACGGGGGATCTTAGTTTGGGTTAGAAAAACCCGCCCCCAAATAGTTGGGGTTGAAAATGGCCGTTTTTCCGCCATGTCAATGCCACGATATCGCTGACTCAGCAGCCGTTAAATCCCGAGCTAACACCGTCTTCTGTCGTGTTGAAATCGGCTAATTTTCATTAGTTTAGGTTTTGAATTTGAATTAGTTTTGATTTTGGGTAGAAATTGACGGGGGGTCTTAGTTTGGGTTGGAAAAACCCACCCCCAAATAGTTGGGGTTGAAAATGGCCGTTTTCCCATGAGCTATATAGGTTGGTAAACATATGAGAGTTCTGTCTTCTTATCCATGTTTAAATGTTACTGATGTGAAGATTCGTTATAGAAAATTATTTGTTTAATGAACAGTGTATATAAAAGTAATGCTCGTTACACTTTTTAATCTTAAGTTTACGCTATATTAAAATGTTGATACACATTTCATATATCAAATCTGCCAAGATATCCAATTATCCATTTCATATATTTTGCCAAGATGCCCATTTCATATATCAAAATTTAAAATGTAATAAAACAAAAACAAAAAACGATTAAAAATATAAAACAGTAGCAGCCGTTACTAAAAATATATGTCGCTACTAATGTGCAATATCCGTCTTACGTTAAAATACTCATCCACCAAGCACGGTGGCACCAGCAAAATAGTCAGACGTCAATTAGTCCTGCTTTAATATCAATCTAATTTCGTGTTCAGTGGATATTTCTTTCTATATGAATCAATTACCGGATTGGGCTTTTTTCCAGCCAAAATTAACAATTTCGGTACATCTGCGAGACATTGCGTTTTAGGTATTTATTTCTTATAGGGAAATGTCTCGTTTACCCTTACACAAAGCTACCAAGAAATTATAAAAATAATAATTAATTTTGCCCCTCAAATTTCTTTCATGTATGTGAAAGAGAGATGCGAGAGATGTTGGTGAAGATGAAGATCCGGTGACGAAGTGGATTTAAGCGCAGGGGAACGACAAAAATAAGATCAAAAGATTAAAGCTTCAAACCCATCTCTTTCATATATTTGTAAATGTGATTTTCAATTTTGGTTTAGATTTGATAATAAATTGGAAATTTTGATTCAATCAATTTTTATGATTGGAGCCCTTGGGTTTACTAAACACATGATCCCCTTAGGGTTTAGCTTCTTTTATTCAAAACGAAATCAATTGAATTAGTTCATCGGAGGAAATCGGTGTTGGTGACGAAGACGTTTTTTGAATCGGAGATGAAAGAGATGGTGTTGATGGCGTTGAAAGTGATGAAGTTGATGGAGGTGATGGAGATAGCATTAATGAAGCATGACAATGCGAAGTAAGGATTATGGTCGGAAAAGAGAAGGTGGTGGTCGGAGAGCTGCCCACGATGGAGATGGAGGAAACGAGGAAGAAGAGATACAGATGATAGAGGCAAAACAGTCATTACACCAAACCCACAAATACCTAAAACTATAAGTCCAGATAATTGTTCATTTTTCTTAAGTTTTGGGCCAATAAAGCCCTAAATCGGTAATAACCCCATCTTAATATTTTATTTTCAGAAATTATTAGTGTTGTTGTAATGTTCTTAGGTTAAATAT